TGCCGCAACTCACTCTCCGTCACCGTGATCTGCTTGGGAAGTCCATTGCTGCTCGACTCAGTGTTGATATACTCGATGAAGTTGCGGCAAACTTGATCGTCTTCTGCATAGAGTTCCAAAAACGCAATTCCAGATGAGGCAGTGATCATGATTTTGCCGTTCTCGACAGGCCAGACCAGAACACTATCGTCGGAGCTCACGGGAGCGTCCCCGGGAAGGCGGAAACAAGGGTGGAAACGGAAGCGCAGCGCATCCAGTCGGTGCCAACCACATTCGTCCTGAGGCAAGCATAGCTTGAGACCCTGTTGCTTTGTCCGGGTCGAGAATGGCTCGCGCGTAGTGAAGGATCGATTGAAGCGGACATAGTCTCGCAACATTATACCGGACTCTTGGTGGGGGCTCCCGAAGAGATGGCCGACTTCGTGTAGGTGAGCCCCAATCCCGATATTGGCCGACTCCCAGCTGGACCCAGCTTCGCCGCAGTCGTTCGCCACATAGTCCGTGTTGGTCCTGGTGCAGTCGGAGAAAGCATCTACGACTTCTTCTAGGCTGCTGGGGTAACTCTGCAGGCTGTGAGAGCCGAAAATGGCCATTTTAATATCGTCCCCGCTGGAGCCTAACGCGGCGTGACCGGTGATCGTCTGGGCGCCCGTATCCCAGTGGGAATCCAAAAGCAGAACGGAGACGTACTGCTTCTGGCTTTGCTGGGGCTGGAAGTGATTCCTGACAGCGTCTTTGGCAATACGGAACAATTCATCCTTCTTGGTAGCCGGGCCATACTGCTGGGCAATGTTCAGGTCCCTCAGCTCCGCGACGGTTTTATCGGTGCGCACAACGTGAACCTTAGCCTCGTTTCGCATTTGTCCATTGGCGACATCCCGCCGACTCAAGGTGCCGGTCTGCCATTCTTCCTCGAAACGGAAACAACGCCTGCCAAAATTGTTGCGGAACATCTGTTCGCCGGTGAAAGATTGCCACAGGTAGGCTGCCATGCGATACTTTTTGATCGCCGTTTCGAGACCATTCCCCTCTCGTTGTTTTCTCTCCGGCGTGGCATCGAAGGTCCCGTCGGAGTCCTTGCCCAGCAGGACGACCAGATGTAGAGGCGGGGCGTTAACCAGGGGGAGGTAGTTGACGCAGAGCCACGACGAATGAATCGCGGGGTGGGTGCTACCAGACGAGAGTTTAGTGGATACAAAGTCGAAGCGTAACCGATTGGGACCGGGAACGAGATGCACGAGAGCTTTGAAGTGGGAGGACCGGACGGGCCAGCTGACCGAGGGGAAAGCGTCCTGGTGGTGATAGACCATGATATTTCCGTCCAGCGGATGTTGTCTGGGGTCTCCGATTTGGCCGTAAATCAGCAGGACTTTTTGATGAACCTAGACAAGAAAGGAGCGAGAAAAGGTAAGCTCTTCTGTGACTAATGTCCGTTGAACCTTATTTGACCCGTTTGGTTTTTTTTCTATTCTTTCTTGGGGTGGGGTCGATGGCGCAAACAATATGATGAATCAGAATGGTCGAGCACCTACCCACGAGTTGTCGGAAATAGAAACGATTCTGGGTGCATAGGGGGAGGAGGGGGTCGGCGACCGAACCGCACCGTTGACAGACATTGCGCTGCCACTCTAGAGGACAGTCAGTTTTTGTTATAAGAGCGGTTCCAGTCCCACAAGCGATAACATACCATCACGGTACTATTGCGCTGGCCTTGGAGAGTATGGGGACCAGGTCTTTGTGGAGGCACTTGTAGCTGTGTGCCATTAACACTACCATTGTCTTCGCTCAACGAGGGCAGGTTTGGGGACGAAGCGGTAGGTTTGATGGAAGACGGCGGGGTGACCGAGCTATAGGAGGCCGTCTCAAGCGTTGAGGAAGATTTACCGGATGTCATCTCTCCATTGGACTGCGACTCGTTGGATTTCGACTCGGCGGATCTGTTGGTGCGGAAGCTGGCTCGGGAGCGACGACGAAGCTGCTCGAAGAACGGCATGATGAAGGAGGTGGTCGCGGCGACCGAAGAAGGAAGTGATCCAAGTCGCGGTGGACGTGGAAAAGGAAGGAGAGCAGCACGACGTCAGGAACCGCGGAGTACTTCGTCCAGGTCCGTTGGCAGGATGATCGACTGTACTTCTCCTCTCAAACGAGCGACAAACCAGACCAGCAGATTGCTGGGGGGGAAATCCGAGAAGAGAGCGAAACAGAAACCAGATTGCGTGTTTTCTTGTGTAATCGGGAGGAGAGGCAAACGAGGGCGACCGTTTGCGGATGCGACAGGAACGAACGAAGGGTACAACCACCCCGCAGAATGCTCAGGGGAAGGCGGTCGTGGAGCTGGTATGCTGCAATTGATTGGGAATGATCTAGTTCATTAGTGGGGATTACTTCGAAACAAGTGAAATGAGAACCTGAAAGGAACCAGGAAGAACGAAACAAAGATAAAATAAAAGAGAAGGGGGGGGGGGGAGAATGAAGAGAAGGGAGGGGAGAGAAAAAAACAAGGCTGATAGATAGAAGGAGAGGAGAATTAATGTTGTTACTGCAACAAACAGGGAACTAAGTCAAAAATAAAAACAAAAAATTGATAATAAAAAATTGGAAGCTTGCTCCGTTATCAAGTCTTTTTTTTTTTTCTGTCTCCCTTTACGTGGTTTGTGTCTGATGAGCACCAACTGGGTGGAGAGGGATGTTCCAGATATGAATGAGGATGGATATCTCCTTTTCTTTCTTCCTGTTTTCTTTCTTGCTTTCTCCTCCCTTCATCTTCTCTCGGTCTTTCTCTCGCCATTCCACTGTCCACTTGACCTTGACCATCAGCATCAACAGCCACTCCCTGCTTGTTTAAGCCAACAACAGCAACTTCGATGCAAGAAGTGGGTCGACAGAAGTTGCACTGCCTGTTGCGAATAGACAAGGGCGCGTTACGTAGGCCAACGGTGACTGGCCAACCGCAGGGTTGAGATAGCGCCTAGTTTCACACCGTGTGGAGGCTTGCCTGGCTAATTTGGTCGCGCTTCGATAAGGTCTATTCTCACGTTCGATGTGCAATCGCCAATCACGATGTACACCGTGTTGATGCTTGGCCAGTAGGATTGTGGTCGCTCTTGACAATGGCCATAGCTACGGAGTATACAACGTCTGTGCTGGTCTTGTTGTCCACAGGGCAGAACTTTCCTTGACACTCCGAAGTACTGAGCGATTGCGAGCGCGAGTCTTCACCGGACATTTCTGGACCCTCATTTCTTCATCCCTTTTCCTTGGTTGCTCTCGGTCGTACTAAAGAGCTACTATCGGACTAGAACAGGAACTGCCCAGTTCCCAAGCCTTTTCAGACCGGGCTAAAATAGACGGTCGACTAGCGATCTCGACTCTCACAAACCAGTGCGGCTGTTATTTTATTTTATTCTTTTTTTTTCTCCCCGTGAATTTAATTTCATTGTCTGTCGAAGCTGGCAGTTGATTATCGCTGGCACGCTGCCCTACGGCCCTGTGGTGTCAAGATTTCCTCTGATCGGCGGTCCAGATCAAAGATGCGATTAAAGTAAAAGACAACGCGCCCAAGAGTCGTCGTGCAGTTAACTTGCAACCATTATTCGCTCTCTCCTGGGCTTCCCCTCTTGGTCCACGTCACCCATTTCCAGTTCCTTGTTTCTACTCACTAAACTTCCTTGGGGATGGACTTGATCATTGCAGGGGAATTCGACTCCACCGCGAAGGTACTTGATCGTTCTTAGCGTCGTATTCAGGCAGCATCCAAACCGCAAGACCAAGAAAAGTTGACAAGTTGGTGCTGCACTGCTGTCAAATCTCGGGATCTTACATGAGAACTTTGAAAAAGAATCGCTCTGAATCAATCGCGGTGTTGATCGTCCGTTGGTTCATGGCTGACGCCTAGGGAGCGACCTGTGCGTCGACCGTCCTTTCCTCATACTCTTAGTCGCCGCTCTCGGGAAAGGGATAAAAACCTCCTGCTTAAAAAGAGGAGATGGGAAGTATTAGTTTTGTTTACTTGGGTCGGTCCGTAGGGTGGGCTTAAGCTTCATTGTGGCGACCACTGGGGGTCATCAATTCTGAAACCGGACGACGAGATCTCAGACTCGATCGGACTCTCCACGTCCCTGAAACTGAAATCATCTACGGCTCTACGCCCGTCTCCGAGGCTGGTCGGAATCCGGAAAGGCAGAGTGGATATGCCAGGTATCGATGTGGCTACGGGCCAGAACGGCGATGGAGACGAGCTAAAGTATGAAATTCTCGACTGGCATAGCAACAGTCCCGGGTCGGAATTTTCCTCGATGCACGGAGGTATTATGGAGATACTTATTGATTGATGGATCGATTGATCCCTTCAGGGGGGATGAGGAATGACCGGGGGAATCTACAGTACCTGAACCGGCGTCGGCTCTCTCCACATACGAGGTAGATAAACATCTCTTGAGCATTCCAAGTTTATTATCACCGAAATGAGGAAGTAAAACAGCAAAATCTGTCTGGTTTGCTGATAACCAATACGAAGGACGGGTCGCACAATTGACAGATTCAATGAAGGGGGAGGTGCATGGGGATATTTAGAGGATAGAATGAGGACTCAGGATAATCCATCCAGACGAGAATAATGGCAGAATGGATTCATCGGAATCATAATGTAATGATCAAGAAAAGAACCCCTAGATCCGTCGTTTCCCCGGAGTTCGTGACTGGGAGAATTAAGTTGGGAAGGTGAAAGAGTGCCGAAACTTCTCCCTTCGCCAGCCCCGACGGCCAAACTAAACCCAACGCAGTCTTTCGTTCTCTTCCCTCTTTGACCCGCCCTTACCTTGAACCTTCAACCTTCAACCTTCGACTTCCCTCGCTCTCAAGCTCCCTTCCCTCCCTGCAGCCCGGCTCTTGCATTTACCCTCACACACCCCCCAACTCCCTTCCCACCGCTGGTTTATGATCTCGACCCTCGTCCATTCTGCTGCTTAGTCCTGCTGCCGTTTTTCAGCCCTCAGCTGGCAATGGCCTTACCTCAGCCGACCAATTCGGAGAAGACAATCCGTAAAATTGACATTGCTCAGGTAAGTGTCTTTTTTTATAGTTCCTCCCCTCCCCCTTCTTTTGTACATTGTTGGAACCAGAATTTCTTGGAAGAGTCTAATGCGGTGGTTCCCTCGTGATGAATCTAGGTGTCCCTCAGTCTTCAAGATCGCCTGGGTCTCGCCAAAGTCAAATACCAGAACGGCCGTCTGCACGCCCTAGACCAGAATGGTAGCCGACATATCTCTCTAGGGAGTGACAAGCCTTCGGATTCGTCGTCGGAAATCTCGCAGAGTCGCTGCGAGACCCCCATAACCTCGCCTCCCTTGCGAACCTCCACCTATTCCAAGGAACTGCCTAGGTCGTCCCGCAACCGACATGCAGCCACCTTCAACTCCAAAGTGATGCAGCCCATGCTGTCCGCCAGTCGAAAACGTCTTCGGTCGGATTCCATAACAGACCGTACCGTGAAGGCTCCACGGGTGTCGTGGAAGAGCTCGTGTCATCTGCCCGAGTCCTCTCCGGGGATGAACCGTCATCTTGCCAGCCGACACCATCCGTTACCCTTTATTTCGGAGACGGCGACCATTCCCGAATTCTCTTCGCCTGCATATCATCATCTGTCCGATGACGACAACGATCCGGATCTCCCGGTACACAGCTTCCAGAATGTCAGCTCCATGGTGGGCTCGTCGCCGCCTCAGACTCCGCCGCCGAAGCATGCTCGCCTGTCACGCAATGACCGAAATCTCCGGCACGAAGACGGGGCAGATCTGCTGCTGTACTTGGCGAACTCTCCAACGCCCGCCACCGTCTCTGCCAAACCTCAACCCCGGGATTTCCCTCCGTCGACCCCTCCCAGCCAGCACGCCGTTCTGCCGGGACTCACTCCGACTCCCGGAGGAGTCTTCGCCAATTTCGGCACCCCCAATCAGCAGTTCAACTTTGCTGATTTTGTCAACGTGACTCCAAGCCCGGCACAGCCTGCGTTTGGGGGTCGTACGCCCGGAGGGCCTTCCAGAACACCTCTGACCGCCAAAGACAGAAGGAGGTCCAACCTGGACAACCTGTTGCCGCCCGGGGCGGACAGCCCCAAGAACCGCGTTAAGGATGCCAGCAAAATCTTGCAGCTTGGCGGAGAGCTGCGACCGTAACCATCACGGTTCTTCAAAATGACCATGTCTCTCTGCCCATGGATCTTGTCACGACCTACTAATGATTTATGTATACACTGTCGGATACTGCCACACGTCTTACTCCTTTCTCTTTCCCGATGCCCTGGTCATTGGACTGATCTTTCACATTTTACTTGATTTTACTTACCTATCGCGGCACGTTTTCTCCGACCATCAGTCCTCAAGTAGGCTGATGCTCTGAATAATGCATTTCTTTGTGCATACATACCCTGTGTCCTATGTCATGTTTAATTTGCCGCATATTGTTTCATTTGTGCACACTCATTTCCCACCACACTCTTTACCAATCACCCGGTTATTCTCTTTTTCTTTTGGAATCGCACGTTACGTGCACGGGCTACTGTATGTCCAAAATGTCCACAGTGCATGCAGTGGCATCTATTCGGTTGTATATACCTATGAACATCAATGTGAATGTCATATTTTATGAATAACCCAATACCCCAAACCCACCACTAAATATGACCTAGTATTTGCGAAAAAGGAAATGGAAAAACATTGCGTCATTCCTGAAGAAAATTCACCGACTAGTCGTCGTCCCCACTTGATGGAGACTTTTTTTTTTCTTCACGGGCTTCTTGAACAATTTTTCTTCACTTTTTACCTAATTGATTTTCCCACTTCGTTCGGAGCGTATCCATAAAGCATGCTAGCCAGTCCGTAAGCAAATTCCCCTGCCGCTCAGTGGTGCACGCCACAGAACCGGGACTCGGGAGTGGAAAGCCAGAGAAAAAAAAAAGAGGGGAAAACAACGCGCAAAACAACACTAGACGCGTCGAACTTAATACCGTGTCCATTTCGCGTTGGGTCTATGATATAAATGGTCTAGCGTGATGCAGCTTGTGATGCGCTATTCCGAATGTGGTTAGATCGAATACACTAGTTTTCTGTTTTTGTGGGCGGGTTCTTTTTTCTCCGATGGAGTCTCCGCGTTGGGAGGTGATTTCATGAGGTGAGGGCACGTGATGTTGGTTGGTTAGTTATGGGTTTTGAGTGATGAGTAATGCATACCTACTGTGTACGGTGTGTTTGCTGAATGGGAATTCTTAAGTGGTTCGTTGACAACGGTTTTGGAGTAGTTATTAGGATGCGCATGGGTTACTGGCTTTGTGTGACTTGGTTTGAGGGCTGTGACATCTCCATATGCGGTGACATTTAAGCATGGGATATTGTCTCTTAGTATATGTTGCTCACTAGGTATATTATATATTAATTGAGGTTACATCAATTTTATTGTATGTGGCCGGGTTCTAACAATTATGTATAGTAGTAGGGTTGCATCTAGACCTATGATAAATAGAGCCAAACAAACCAGCTATCCAATAGCCACAATTGATCTATTCGATCTGCCCTTAAGATAGGGACACTTCAATCCTCCAGGTTCTCCTCCTGCGCTGGCTGCTCTGCTTCTTCCAGTCGCGCCTTCTCGGACTGTTTTCTCCAAAGAAGAGCCAGATAGTCCGACGTGGTCGCTTCGTCAATGGATTTGTCTTCGCGGACTTTGAGGAACCGCGGAAACCGGAGACTGAGGCCTCGCTCGTCGCTCACCAGCCCTATAGCAGCCGTGTACGTCGGGCTCAGCGTGATATCCGCAAACGCCATCTCCCAGACCTCCTGCGGCTCGAACCAGATGTCCGGCTCGCCGGCATACTCGACATAGCTGGGCCGTGAGATCACGTTGGCGCTGCCCTCGGTGTACTTGTCCTTGTTGGCCTGGTAGAATTTATCCGTGAAGCCCGACATGCATTTAGTGACTGCTTCCAGAGTCCCCGTTTCCGGGTTCCGGACGGCGAGTAGGATGGGTGACCACCATTTGGCCTTTCGGCCTGAGCCGTGCCACCCGGCGACGGGGATGAGATCGAGGGTTTCGGACGACGTGCTGTAGTCTTTTTTGACCTTGAGCCAGGAATCAAGACGTTTGTCGGGTTCGTAGGTGGACAGAAGGGCTTTGCGTCGGGTCCCTTTGGCGGGCTTTTTGTTTTCCGTGGTAGATGAAGGCTGTGGTTGTTGCTCGGATTCTTTGGTGCCGTCCACAGAAGCCTCGGCGTTCCCATTTGTGGGAAGGTTGTCAAGCACTTTGACCATGATGCCCTCACATTTGGTATCCGTGGCATTCTTGAAAAAGTCCAAAACTGTCTCGGAGTCCCCAGACGTCGCATCGATACTTTTCACCCATGTGAATCGGTTCGGGATCTCTACGAAAAGACTCCGTAGAAGCTCTCTGCGTTCGCGGAAGGATCGGTCAAGGAGGGGCTCCCCGTTCATGTACATAAGATCGAATGCGAAGAGGCACACGTTGACTTTGATGGTCCCGATGTCGACACTTTTCTTCGCTCGATTGGTAAGGACTTGAAAGGCCTGGAGGTCACCGGTACCCTGGTCCACCGCAACAACCTCACCTTCCAGGATGAAACTGGACACGCTCTCTCCTCTGATCTGAGGGACCAAAGATACAAGATCGGGATACTTCTCGGTCATGTTTTCTAGGTGGCGAGAGAAGATCGACACTTTCCCGCTTTCATCGCAATGAACTTGGGCGCGCTGTCCGTCGTACTTGAACTCGCAGCTAAAATCCCGCCCTTGTAGCTTCGTCAACATATCCGAAAGATCCCGCGTGATGCTACCCAGCATCGGTCGCAGTGGCACATGGAGTTGTAGCCCGCATCGCAGCAGGAGTTCTTCCGTGACCCCTATCTCGAGGAGACAGGGGACAAGGTCATTGTAGTTGGGGTGTCTGGCATACGAAGCCTTGACAATTTCTTCCGCACTACTGTAGGTTTCCGCGAGGTCTTCTTTCTTGAGACGAGCAAGCTCTTGTTGGGAGGGTATAGAGAAGTCCGCACCGTCGGGCTTGGAGTACAGGAATGCTCGCGCAAGAGCGATGAGCATAGTGGTTTTGACAGCTCCAATTCGCAGGTTCTGTACCAAAGTCCTGACGATGTATCGACTTTCTTCCGCACCCCGAGCATCCTGCAATAACTTCTCGACAATCCTCTGCTTCGTTTCCTGACTGCCACTGCCTTTGCTGGCGGCAATCTTTACGAGCGACTGGTATGCACCCTTAATCTTGAGCGGCTTCGGTTTAATCAACGTGAAGCTCTGTTTTTTCTTGGCTTCGAAGGCGACATCGCCTGCATCCCCGTACTTGTCGTAAAGCGACTTCAATCCTTGACTGTGGAGCCCGTAGATCTTCTTAAGCGCTTTTGAGATAGAAGACCCGCCAAGTCCCAGCTCCAACTCATCGTATGGCGGAGAGATGGAGTTCGTCGCAAGCCAGACCGCGGGGAGAACACTCGAAGGATCTCCTTCGATTAGAACCCGCAGAAAGTTAACCAAAGTATCCACGATGCGTATACGACTCGTGGTCGCATTGGCAAGAACGAAAGCCCGAGTCAACAGGGCGTAAGAGGCATCGCCACCTTCCGCCGCCCAGTGCGATTTCAACTCCTCCGCATATTTCCTCGAATCAAACGTCAGGGGACTCTGGTCGAAAGGAACCGCGAGAGACACCGTATCTTCCGTACCAGTAGACGACTGTAGGGATAGTGTGCTATTGTTCTTTGGTTCTGGGTTGCTTGATCCCGAAATGTCGGCATCGGGAATCGCAGGAGGAGCGGTCGCGGTCGCGGTCACGTTGCTTGGGGTATCGGTCTCCAGGCTCGGAGCTGTATCCTCCTCTTGATTCCATTCTGCTTGAAGCTTACGGGCGAGAGCTTCATCGGAGAGGGTCTGCTCGGTATCTTCGGGGGGTGGCAATGAGGGCTGTTCTGCTTTGGCCGCAGCTTGACTTTGGAAGAATGACGCTATGCTCCGATTGCGCTGCGGTGAGGACTCCGGCACCTCTCTTTTTCGCTTTTTGGTGGGAGTTGACATTGTGGAACATCATCTATCAATATAACTGGTGCCAATGGAGTTCATGGCTGAAGTAGGTGCCATGATGCCTGGACGGAGGAAGAGATGACGGAATGGAAGTTGGCGGTTGGTTTGCGATGGTCGGCAATTCGTTCCGAGGCGGTGATGGGCGACACCTTGCGGCTTGCAACTTGGCTCTACCACCACCCTCAAACAATGGCCTCTTCGACGTCTAACCTGTCGCCGCACGAGCAGACGAGAGTCGAGGACTACCTGAATGATAAGATCCAGGTCTCGGCGGATTTCGGAAGTCTAGACTCGTTACTCTCGAGTCTCCGTGCCCAACATGAGTTACAGCGGAAACAGGTACTGTCTTTCCCCGCGATCGCAACGTTTATCAACTAACGCATCTTTGATAGCTAGCGGAAGCCCAAGAAGTCCTGTCAAATGCCACGAAGGCTTCGAACGATCATGCAGAAGTCACCCGAAAGCGAGCTGAGGCGTTCAAGGAACAGCAGGCTGACATCGACCGGCGCCTGAAAGCCATCACGAAATCGGATGCGAGCGACGACGCTGCGAAGCGGTTCGAGGAGGGAATCGAGAAACTACGGCGACTTGAGATCTCTAGAGGCTATGTGACGCTGCTCAAGGAAGCAGAGGAGTTGAGGTACCCACCATCCAAACATTCCATAATCTCCCGGCTCTAATCCGGTATACAGCAAGGAAGCCCTGAAGAACATCCAATCCGCCCCCCAGCTGGCAATCCCACCCTACACCCGACTCCGAAATATCGTTCAGTCATTAGTCGAAGCTCAGCCTGCAGCAGAAGGCGCCGCACCCCATCTCGTCGACTACGTTGGAAAGCTGGCGTCAGCCCTCAGGGAACAATTGAAGGGCGACTTTACCAGACGACTCCAAGGAACGTTGGAGCAGATGAAATGGCCATCGAAGGATTTGCATTTCCCTGAGGATCTGAAGTCGCAGTGGAAAACAAATGTTGAGTTGCTACTCGACCTTCAGACTCCGTAGGTGGACTCCATCCACTTTCGTATCTTACTCTTGTGTCTGACTTTCTACTAGGGAGTTGAAGAGTCGCAACGTCACCTCCAACTACCAGAATGTTGAACCACCTATCTTGCTTCCGTTGGAGGTCATGGTTCACCCTCTGGAGCTTCGCTTTAAATACCACTTTAGTGGTAACAAACCGACTAACCGGCTCGATAAGGTATGTAATACCCTGAGCACACTCGACCATCAATCGTCTAACACGTTCTACAGCCGGAATATTTCCTATCCCACGTACTGGACTTGATCAATAATTTCGGCGGCTTCTTCATCTCATCCCTCCAGCCAGTCTTCGATGAAAAGGCCCAGGCTGTTGGATCCAATTTAGAGTGGAATTTCAACGACACCTCGCACGCGTATATCACGGCTCTCCTGCCTATGCTCAGGCAGAAGATCACCAGCTTTCTTCCCCAGATCTCCGAGCACCCCCAGCTTTTAAGCCACTTGATTCATGAGTTGATGACTTTCGACAACGACATCCGCGAGAGTTGGAACTACCTGCCAGACCCCTATAGCGACGATAACTGGAAGGGAATCACATGGGATGTTTTGACCAAGGAAGGCTGGTTCGACCGTTGGCTACAAGTCGAGAAGGACTTTGCTCTGGCTCGCTACAAGGACATTGTGGATACCCCTGACAGTGGTCATATTGACTACGATGGCGTTGAGCTTTCAGCGACTAAGCCCACAAAGGCAGCTATTCGCGTGAATGACCTGCTTGAGACCATCACCGATCGTTACCAGCCGTTAACCTCATTCAGCCAGAAGCTGCGTTTTCTTATCGATATTCAAATCACGATCTTCGATCAATTCCACGAACGCCTGCACTCCGCTCTAGAAGCCTACCTTGCGATGACCTCCACCATCGGCCGAACGGTGCAAGGGACAGACGGTGCCAGCGTTGAAGGTGTTGCAGGGCTGGAACGACTGTGCAGGGTCTTCGGAAACGCCGAATATCTCGAGAAGAAGATGGAGGACTGGAGCAACGAGGTATTCTTCGTCGAGCTCTGGTCAGAGCTCCAAGAGCGGGTTCGGCAGAACCGCGACGGAGGCAAAAACGTTGCCGGCTCCATGTCAGTAGCGGACGTCGCCTCCAGAACCTCACCGGCTGTCAACAACGGTTCTGAGGACAGTGAGAACAACGGCGCGACTTCTGACGGAGCCCTCTTCGACGAAACCGCTTCCGCATACCGTCGTCTCCGACTGCGGTCCGAATCTATCATCACGTCCACTCTTACCTCCAACGTGCGATCTGCCTTGAAGCCATATTCTCGCGTGTCAACCTGGACAACCATCTCGGTCCCCTCAACATCCTCCACCGGCCCCGTGCCCCCGTCTTCCGATCTCACTCCTGCCATGCGCACCTTGTCCACCGAGATCTCGTTCTTGTCCCGCACGTTAGGCATTGCCCCCTTGCGCCGTATCATCCGACAGGTCCTCCTCGCCATTCAAACCTACCTCTGGGGCACGATTCTCATGAAAAACACCTTCTCGGCAGCAGGCGCAGCGCAACTTATCAGCGACGTCGATCACCTCTGCAACGTCGTCGACGTGGCTCTCGGCCCTGCCACCCCAACTGGCGGCTCGGCGAAGGTGCTACAGAAATTAACCGAAGGCTTGCTTCTTCTGGGACTCAGTGCCCACGCATCGCAGCCCGAAGATGAACCCGGCTCTTCCAATGTCGCTGATCCTCTCGGTGGAGGTACTGACCCTACACTCGGTCTATGGGCAGTAGAGAAAAGGCTCTTCAAAGACAATGAAAGCGCGCGGGAGGTTCTGACCGAGCTGGGGGTGGAAACTCTGGCGGAGTCAGAGGCTAGAAGTGTGCTTGAGCGGCGCGTCGAGATCGGTAACTAGTTAGTTCGTAAGGGACTGTTTTTGTTGCTGGCCTGATGACTTTACGAGTGGAGGTGTGATGTGATATCAATCAGATGGTTTATTTCCCCTATTCTTTTTAAGCTTCACTCCTACAGCCCTGCGGGTTTGACCTGTGTTCGTAATATCATTTATACATATATATACTCTATAGAAGATCTTTTCTAACATCCATACCGAAAAAAACACAACAAAAAATTGTACCCGAAATAGGTCACCCGAAAACAAATCTATTCGCATCTCTGACGATTCGAATATAAGATCAATAGATCATGCATGGTGGACCACAGGTCCGTGGCCCCTCTCACCCGGTCTCCTCGACGGCACCGAACCGTTCTCGGCCTTCTTCAGTTGATCGACGATGCCAGGACCAACGTCTTGGATAGCCTGCACCAGCGCCTCGACAGTCTCCTTGGTCGTCTGCACGTTCACCACGCAGCGGAAGAACTTCCCGCTGCCGACGGCATCCTCGTCGCCGCTGGGCGGCGCAAAGTCCACCATGAATCCCCGGCTGACGATGGCGTGCGTCACCTGCTCTGTGACCTTGCTGTTGGCCTTGCCGCGCTCGGTCTCGTTCGAGACGATCCCGCGCGGATGCACGAACTCTCGGCCGGGTGCGTAGTAGAAACAAACCTGCAGGCAAGGGGGTGGGTTCTCGCTGACGAGGATGAAGTCGGGATGCTCGGCGACCAGGGTCGCGAGGTAACCGGCGATGTCGCAGGCCGTGTCAATCTGCTTTTCGTAGCCCGCGGTGCCGTAGTAGGTCCAGCCGAGGAAGAGCTTGAGGGAGTCGGCGCGTCGGCCGCACTGCAGGGTCAGGTCCGCCAGGTCCCACACCTCGGGGGAGTCGACAGCCAACTCGGATTCCGGTTCACCTGCTTGGTCCTCGTCGGACGGTTCGGTGTCTTCGTTGTGAAACAGGTATCCGGCGGGGAGGGTATTGGCGCGATGGAATCGTCGCAGGTCGGCGGCGAGCAGGAAGGAACAGGTGACGGGGACACCGAGCATCTTGTGCGGGTTGATGGCAATGCTGTCGGCCTTTTCGGCGCCAGCGAGCTTCTCCCTCTGCCGCTGGGAGAAGGCAAATGAGCCGCCCCAGGAGCCATCGACGTGGAACCAGAGGTTGTATCGCTTACAGATGGCGGCGATCTCGTTAAAGGGGTCGAAGGACCCCATGACGGTCGATCCGGCAGTCGCGTTGACGTAGAACGGGGTCCGGTTCTCCTTCAGCGCCTTCTGGACCAGTTTTTCCAGCTCGGCCGCAATCATCCGGCCCTGCTTGTCCACGGGTACCGACCAGACCGAGCTGCTTCCAAGACCCAACATCTGCGCCGCCTTCTCGATACTATAGTGACCGTGGGCGCTGGTAAACAGCACGAATCGGTAATCACTATTTCCATCCTTTTTCGTGCTGGGGAATAGATTGTTGCGCGCAATGACGATTGACGTCGTGTTGGACGCGGAACCACCCTGCACCGAAATACCACCGGCTCGAGGGCCGTTCAGCCCGAAGAGCTCGGCTAGCTGCCGTCCGGTATACTTCTCGATCACCGTCAAAGCCGGGGAAACCTGGTACACGTGGACATTTGTGTTCAGAGCCGCCAGGATCAGCTCCGAGGCGACGCCCGGGGCATTGGTTGAGGCATATAGCTTGTCGAGAAAACCCTGGTGCCAGGTGTTGACGGAGTAGCGCAGGACCTTCTGGAGAACTTCGATCAAGCCATTCTGCCCCGTGCCTTGCTCTGGAATCCGCAATTGGAGAATATTCTGCAACTCGTCGGGCTTCTTGTAGTCGACCAACGAGGTACTCGGGTGCTGGAGGTCTCCATTCGAGCCATTGGATCCGTTAACGCCATTTTTCAATTGCTGCACTTGGTTCAAGGAGTCATCGTCTGCGGAGCGAATGAAAGGAATTAGAAGGTCTTCGACGGCGCTCAGAAGCTAGTCCAGGATTAAACGATTAGCAGCATGTCCAATTTCCACCAATGGGTGCAGGGAGTAATTGGCTCTGGTAGAGTCTGACTCACATTTCGCACTTCGTATGCGCGACTAGACGCTGCCGGCACGGCCATAAATGCTGTTCAAGTCACAAGTTGAGAAGAGGAATTTGACTAACAGATCAGCGGTATGTGAGTGTTTATAAGGGTCGAGTTACGGTGAATCAATTGCGCATTTTATGAGACTTCAGAAAGCCGGAGAATTCCTCTACCTATGGCCGAACCCGAGGATATGCCCCTCCCGATCTCGGTGGAGACAAGATGGCGAGAGGGCGAGCGGGTCTGACATCATGTCGAATGGACGGCACTGCATGGCTGACAAGCACGTGGAGCTGGCGATCGTCTCTATGTAGGGGCTTCTCGATGTTGAATGTGGATTGGTGATTGTAATTCGTTTAGAACTTTTGGGGGAATTTTTTTTATTTGTTTGACCCCGCGGTTAATCACCTGACCCATGCAGGCCTCAGGATCGAAGAAATTCTAGCTTGCAAGTAAATACATTCATTCATCCATCCTTCAGACATCCTTCGATTATCTCTTCTTCACAGCCACCATATTCGGGTTATATTTTGCCTTGTTTTCCTCCGCCTTCGCGGCATATCTCTCCCGTGCCAGCTCGATCTTCGACTTCGGTCGTTCTCCAGAACCGTCCTGACTATCAAGGCCCTTCGCCTTAGCCGCCCATTCTCCTCGTCGTCGTTTGTACAGATCCATGGACCAGTTTCTCCAGACGGCGCGGCCGACGAAGGAATCTCGGAGCGCAAACTCATGTTGCGATAATTCCTGCGCCATTCGCTCCTTGACGAAATAAAGATCTTGGGTGGCTGTCCATAGGGAATCGACAACGTGGGATCCACTGCTGTCGAGCGCAAGGTCCTTCAGATGACTCGTGAATCGCGTGGTGAACTGTCGGCGGAATTGAGTGGTGGAGGTCGGGAGAGTAAGAGCATGCTGGAGGACCCGGGAGGCAGTGGGGTCCTTGGCCAGCTGCAGGAGGGTCTCAGACGACTGGGCCAGCAGGCTCGAGAAGATCAGTCCGCTCATCGGCCCGGGGGCCGTCAACATCGTTTGGGCAAGCAGCGAGCCGTGCAGCTTCTCTGCGTTAGATGCCTGACCAGAGCCAGGCTCCTTCGATTGCGATTCCGGTCCTTCGTTGTCCCGAGAGGTTTCCTCGAGGCGTAGAATCTGATTCAGCCTTTTGGCGGGGTCTTGGTCGTAGGCAGCTTCCATAGATCGAGCAAGCGGCGCCGTGTTGACGCCTCGGACCACACATCGCTCGATCAGCACTTTAGGCACATTTGTCCGAGACCGCTCAAGAAGATTGGGAATTTGCTTAACGATGGACTCCATAGCACTCTGAAGATCGTCCTTTCCGAGTCTTTCTAGCACCCGGAGGACAACGTATCCGGCGGTGGTGTTGCGAGCGAACGAAGCGATCTGATCGCGCATGAAGTTCTTGTAGAGGCTTTTGAAGAGTTTTCCAGGCATGCAGCGCACAATGGTTTCGAGGAGACGAGATCCCACGGGGTCGTACAGTAGACCCCGGATGAAATTCGAGGTCTCGGAGCCCTCTTCGAAGTTCTCGTCAGGAATGAGTCTTCTTGTGATTGATTTCGGATCCTTCGCACTCGACTTTCCGAAATGGGACAGTTCCAAAGAAACCAGCACCTGGAGAACGGGGTTACCCACAGGGTGGGTGGCCAATGCTCGCAGATAAGTATCGTCCAACACAGACACCATATCACCCATGACCTTCTTCAGGGTGGTTTCAAAGTTCTCCGGCACTCCCTTTTTCTGCGGAACAGCATCTTCATCCTTTGTCGGTTCTGTGCCCACAGCGCCCACTCTCTCACTCTTTCGACTCGCGACAACCGAGTCGCTTGTTGAGAGATCGACCGGCTCACCAGCAAGAACCAACAGAAGAACTCGGATTGTATGCGATGCGAACCGTTCCGTCAACAAGTATCCCCAGTTTCCTTCCAGTTCCTGGACGACCTGCATGAACATCTCCGCAAGCGACAGCTCGGGTTCGGGCTCGTCCTCCTCATCACCGTAGTCTTTGATTTCCTTGGTCTTTGACGGCTTTTGCGTCACACCAGGCGCCGCATTGATGAACAGTGTTTCGCAGCAATGGCTCGCGAACCGATGCTGAACGAGGTGCAAGAAATGGCCCAGGAACTTATTGAACAGCCTCCGGATCTGGCGAATGTCGGACATCAACATGAGTTTCTCCATAAGCCGAGAGCAAGATTGACTGCATGAGATCTTCAACTCCTTGCCATTGGCCTCCCTGTACACACTATCGATAAATAGTCGCCGCTCCTCCGCATCCTGGAACTGGTTCAATTCCAGCATCTCGCCCGCGCGGGAGAAATACTCCTGCTCTTCGGGATCGAGAAGACCGTAGAAAGGTATGTCACTCGACGGCGCGCCATCCTGTCCTTGGTCCTGGACTTGGTCTTGAGGTTCTTCGAGGGGAATGTAGTCGGCGCCTTCGTTGAACTCGGGGGTCTCGATCTCCATCTCGTCCGTCGAGGGCTTCAATCGCTTGGGGGCGGCATCTTCGGGCGCTTCGTCGCGCTTTCGCTTCGCTGCATCTTTGTCGGCCTTTTCGGCGGCACGACGGCCTCGTTTCTGATTTTCACGGGGCATGGTGCAATAATTCCTGCAGGGGAGGATGTGAGAGAATTGTTGATCGGACTGGATTCTTTTTTGCGCAGGGAATTTTTTTTTTTGGGATAAGCGGTGGTCCGAGCGTTACTTCCGCGGAATTGAGCGGTGTTTGCTCGGTTTGCACTCTACGGCCTCAACTAAGTATTCGAACGGGCGATGAAGTATGTTCAACACATGAGATCATTCATTTTGATGACGAAATACAAGACTCCTTAATACATTGGATAATACAAATATGACCCCAGTTTCAGACGATGATTATACAGAAGAGTAGATGGCAGAAATGTGCCTTCCACACACGACATGCTGTTCCATACTGACGTTGCGAGAGCCGACCTTGCCCTTATGGCGAGGCATGATCTGGAGTCGCGCATCTTCCTTTTTGTCTTCCTTGGAACCCTCATGAGGTGCGAGAATGTAGGTGGGTTTGGACATGTTGCTTCTCTTGCCGGTTCCAAGCTGATAGTGCTCGTTTCCTCCCCACCAGAGCGCATCAAAGCCCCAGTCGTTGTCGTTGTCCAAAGACGATGTCGGAGAAGCGTCCATATGAGTTTTGTTGTCCATTACCGCTGACACGTGCGTCGTTCCCACGGAGATCTCGTGTAACCGAATGGGCGAAAGTGTCTTCTTTCGCTCATCGTATTCAAACAGACCACTCAATGGCTTCACCTTGGTAGGAGAATCTTGCAGATGAATCCATTTTCCGTTCCCGAGAGCACCCCAAATGCCTCTTCCGCAGGTCCAAGTGTCGGCGGTGATGCGGTCTAGATCACGGATTGCTGAAGGGTTTTCTCCGGGGCCAACAATCCGTTTGGCATCCACGGTGAAGAAGCTGTTGGCGCCTCCAGCTGCGATCCTGGTGGCTTTGGGAAACCAGATGTGACCACGGTAAAGCCTTGCGATGGGGATCATGGCAGGGGTATCGCTGAATGGCAATGACGGATCAAATTGCATCCCCAGCTGACCAAATGAGTTGTCTCCAAAAGCAAATACGCTGCCATCCTTGCTAAGAGCCAGCGAATGATAGTCTCCGGTAGCTATCTGGGCAATTTTAAATCCCTTGAGCGCCGTGACCTCGTGGCAGGCATCAACTGGACCTTGAGGTCGCGTGGCCCAGGCCAGACCTGGCACACCTAATTGTCCGTGAGAAGGGTAACTCTCAGTGGATGAGGCAACGGAGAAAACTCTGCCACTGCTTGTAAGAAGAAGGGCATGTTCCAAACCGCCACTGATAGAAGTTATCCTTTCGCCCAATTTCAGGCCCGGCTGAAGCAGCCGATAGCTTACCCCGGCCGTTCCGGACCAGAAGGGGACCCAAGAGCCTTCCTTGAGCTTACGGCCAGACGTTTGATCCTCCCTCGCAATCGGCAAGGAATAAACGTTTCCGTCAGAGGACAGAGCAAGAATCCGATCGTTGGACATACATAATGAGGTCAAGTTTTTGCCAGTGAGAGTCTTGGTGGGCTTGAAGTCTGTCTCCGAAAAGCCTTTACCCCATTGAACTAAGTCACCTTTATCAGTGATAGCAGCACCAGACTTTTCTCCGAGTTTGAGATCTCTCAGCACCTGGTCGTCGAAATAAGAGATCCTCCGAGGGGTCTTGATCACAGTCTCTTTCGAGTCCGGATCAACAACACTGTGGGTATTCGTTCCCCACACATAGACACCCGGACTTTTCACACTCCTTTTCTTTTGAATGAGCTCGGGACCCAATTCCCCAGTAATCTTTGACAGAGTTTTGGCATTGGGGTCGATTGGGTTCTCGATCTGAATCCCCGGGTTCGTTAGATACGAGTAGGCCACGAACGCGGCAGTTGCTGTTCCTGCAAGCCCCAACGAATTGCGAAACCAATGCGACGAAGGGGCAGACTGGCGTTCTACCCTCGGACCATGGCTGGCATATCTCTTTTGCTCCCGTATGGCAGACCGGCCATTTCGAGCAAGACGGCGAGAGGTGGCAACGACCGTCGTCGCCGATTGTCGCGAGCGAGCTGTCCACATATTGCCCTGTGACCTGAGTCCTCAAAGGTGCATAGTGTTTACTCCGGGAGTGAGAGTGGATGACCTTGGGTCTCAGTAGTAATTAGCTTTCCCCGCAGAAACCGAAGGCAAAAGAGTCCAGCTCCGCGAGACTTGCGTCAGTCGGAGCGGAGGCGGAGGGCGGCGGCAGAATACCGCATTCAAGCGGCCAGCGGAGGACAAGTTTGACCATCAGAGACCCGCCATCTGTTGTGGCTGATGGGCGGACTGCGGGAAGTTTTCTTTTCTTTATAGGGTCCAAGATCGAAGAGCATAGACTCACGTTCGTCAAAAGACTGCACCGTCACGATGCGCCAGCAGACAAAGGGACCGCGATCCCGTCGACAGACAGTCCCGTCTCGCACGCCCCAGCAGTTCCAGGCTCAGGAGACGCAGGAAACCAAACTCGAGCCGGAGGGTCTGGATGCGATTGCGGACATCCATAATGAGTTAGACTTCATTGAATGGTACAATGAAGTTGAAGACAGCTTGCTGGAATCCAGCTACGATGAATACCAGTGAGTACTGTTGCGGGCGCACGCTAGGCAAAGGAGCCAGGCTGACCATTATGGGAATTAGAGCGTGCCTTCATGAGCTGCAGATGTCCAAATCCCACCTCGACTCCCTCTTGACCGACACCTCCTCTACCCTCAAAGTTCTCAGCAGTCTGTCCCAGGACTTTCAGGCGGTGGAATTGCAGACCTCTAAATTTCAGAAGCAATGCGAGGGGCTCTTATCTGCTCAGAAGCGGGACTCGGAATTGGTGTTAGACATTCAGGAGAATCTTCAGTATTACGAATTCCTAGATCCTGCGTCAAGAAGACTTAATGCGCCGGGTGCGGGCAACACTGTTCGCGGGCAGGACTTCTCGGATATGCTTAGACGGCTAGACGAGTGCTTGGACTATATGGAGACACATGTTCGTATCGTCTGGGTAAGCATTGTTCAAGGAAAGCTTACTGACTCTCCCACAGCCAGATCAAAAGGAATCCAGTGTATATCGGTCCAGGTACAGGCTACTTCTAACCCGTGCTCTTACTCTCATCCGAGGACACTTTGTCGCCGCCCTGCGTGACGTGTACTTAAGCGCTTCGAAGAAAATCGCGGACAAGCAACTGAATGACACAACGATGTCCGCCCTACTATATGCTAAGTTTAGGGTCGGCGCACCGGAACTAAAGCAGATTGGTCTTGAAATCCAAAAGAGAGCAGTCCCTCCTTTGGACCCTGACCAAGGGACGGAAGCTGAATACCAGAGTCTTCTCAACGAACTTCATGCTAACTATGCTGCCACACGTGGCAAGCTCATCATTCCGCTGGTGCATAAGAACCTCAATGATATTGCGCAGGCTCCGAGTACCTCGAAGGACCTTGTCGCCTTCGCCCGCGGAAGTATCAGCTACGTGCGCGGCGTGTGCTTGGACGAGTTTGATCTGTGGGAAGAATGGTTCCATGGCCAGGGCGGCTTATACGATTTCCTGGAAACGCTATGCGAACCTCTCTACGATCACCTTCGACCCAAGATCATTCACGAAGACAAGATCATCCGACTGTGCCAGCTTTGCACTCTACTCCAGACCCGCTATCTGTTCGATCAGGAGGAAGAAACAGAGCACACGGATGCCAACCAGCTCGATTTCTCCTCCCTGATTCAGCCGGCATTGGAGGATGTTCAGACTCGCCTCGTCTTCCGAGCGCAAGCTTTCCTCCGCGATGAAATCGAACGGTACAAGCCCCGTCCGGAAGATCTCGATTACCCAGCTCGCAACCGACCGGTCTCAATCACTGTCACTGAAGGCCAGATCTCCGGCCGAAAGGTTGCCCCTGCAGATGCCTTAGTGAATCTATCCACTCCAGCCAAGCAAGCCGAAGACAGTGCCGACGCGCCCACGGATCAAGATTCTAAGTGGGACTTTGAATCGCAAACCGCCTTAAGTGGCTGGTATCCAACCCTGCGCAAGGCCATATGGCTTCTAAGCCGGATATACCGACTAGTCAATGTAACCCTCTCTATCCTTCCCCTCTCCAGTAATATTATGCGCGCCCAAACTGACAAACATACCAGTCTACCGTTTTCGATGATCTAGCACACCAAATCGTCCACCAAACTATCCTATCCCTCCACCACGCGAGCTCCCTCATGTCCAGCAAATCTGCCACAGACAGCCAACTCTTCCTCATGAGCCACCTCCTCATCCTCAAACAGCAAATTGTCGCCTTCGACATCGAATACGTCGCCCCAGAGGTCTCCTTCGACTTCTCCGGCATGACCAACACCTTCTGGGAGTTGCGTGAACGCGGCGGTCTCTTCAACCCGCGCAACCTGATGCGACTCGTCGGACACGGCCTCCTCCCGCGGGTCGTCGAGAACATGCTCGACGCCAAGGTCGAGCTAGACGGACGTCTCCGCACTGTCATCAACGACTTCATCGACGACTTCGCCACCAAAATGACCGCCTCCCTTCCCGCCCAATTCATCGACACGCGAAACCTCCAGCGCGGCGAACTCATCTTCCCTACCTGCCGCACCATCGAGTCCGAGGTCCCCGCCCTCCGCAAGTGCCTGGTCGATTACCTCGACGACACGCGCATGCGGGAAACCCTCGTCGGCGCGGTCCAGGACCGCGTCATCCAGATCTACGAGGATTTCTTCGACAAGTACATCTCCGCCGAAAAGAGCAAGGGGAACGCGGTCAGCACGCGGAAGGGTAAAGGGCGCGAGGACGCCGTCTGGGACGTCGATACGTTTTCCGAGTGGTGTGAGGGTATCTTCCGGGTTGGCGTGGCGATGGCATCTCTGGAAGAAGATGGAGATGATGGCACAACGAGTCGGAGTCTCAGTGTGAGTGGCTCGGCTAGTCTGGCGTCTCATCGTCGGTCATAGACAGTTCCATGATCACCTTTGCAGATAAAGATATCAATACCCTTTTGTTATGAAGACTCGTACATTGTATATAGCAAGCGAAGCATATTGCATCAGATCATATTTTCACCGTTTCATTCAAACAAACCGAGGCAAAATAACAAAAGTAACTCTGACGGGCGCGAGACTAGACCAGGTTATTATGTACGGAGTAGACCATGCAAGACCAACCTGGCAAATAGTCCCTCCGCCCCCGCGCTCTTTCCCGGCAGAACCACCCCCCAAGAACCCCTCCCCTCATACAAAATCGCGTCCCACCACCTCAAAAAAGCTAATAGCTCAAATCTGAAACCAGAGCCCGATAGCTAGTAGTTTTGTGCACCAGATAAATAATTTATACAAAAGGCATCGTCTATCTGGTGACGCAAGCGCCTTGCAAACCGTAGAGCCCATACAAAATCTGTTATTTATCATCCTGACCACTCCCAAATGATCATCTGAGAGTTGTGGTTTTTTAGAGTTTGGGTCAGGTGATTTGGTTCCAATGAGGTTGCCTGACCCATCAGGCAGCGGTATGGTTGTGGTGCCTTACCCTTCAGGCAACAACATGGCTACTCGAGAAGGCAGGCAGTCGTGTGAACTCCCATCTACTCCATACACCCCACCAGGTACTCCGGAGAGGGTCCTTGGTATTATGGTGAGTTGTTCAAGAGAAGGATCGAGAGTCAAGGTCATTCATTGGATACAATCGGGTGGTTATTTGGTTGCTATTTACCCGGGGGAAGATTATTACTTCTATATTTGCGCTCTCTTGGCTTCGAGCTGAGTTTTATATCGGTAGGTATTTACTTCTCTCGTGTCATCTTTCTTTCTAGCGGCTGTCTACAGTGGATGGTTGTGGGTTGAAATCAAATGGGATATCATGTGGAAAGCAATAGTATAGAAAAGAAGCCTAAAAATGCAATGGACCCCCGTCCATCCCGATGATCAAGCGGCGCGTCAAGCAATTGCGGATAAGAAAGAAATACAGAAAGTAAACTGGAGAGAGAAAATATCAATATGTCCATGACAATAGAGTAGAGAGAAAACCATTCTTCGTCGTCGACCGAACAGACACAGTCTAGCTCGGTAGAATCAACATCAACATAATTGCTAAAAATCATGTACATGGTAAAGATAATCAAATGTATCCATAGGTAAAGTAAAGTAAGGTAGTCTTGTGAAAATGTTTTTGCTTTGTTTTGCTTTTTTGTGTTGCGGTTTTTTTGTTTCCTTTTTTTCTCTCTGTCTGTTTTAGGTCCAACAATTTTTTGTCTTCATTTTTCGGGATCCATCTTTCTTGTGTTTTTCCTTTTTCCGTAGTGAAACTCAAATCAATCAAATAAAATAACCATTCTTCTTCTTTCTTTTGTGGAATTGTTTTGCGTCGAACAAAATGACCAGCAGAAACAAATGGTATCAACCGCGTGCGCCGAGAAAATGCTCCGAAGTAATATAAGTATAAAACTTTTGTCTTCCGGTTCCATGACGAAAGATGCAAGATCAGGATGGAGGTAATCATGGGAGGAGGGGGGGGGGGGTGAGAAAAAGAAAAGAGAAAGAAATTATGATAATAAAGAACTTCCGACAGATACTGTCGATTTTGATATAAGATGATAACTCGGCGGGTCATGAGCGGATCGTGACGCAAAGAAAGGCAAACAGAATTAATGGCGGGTGCTATTTTGCTCGTAGCTGAAGGGGGTCTGGAAATGCATGCTGGCGCTGAGACCGAAGGGATCTGCATCTAACATGGGCTCGTAATTGCCGAGGAGTTGATTTGGATTGTTATATGCACCGTTGGATCCCTCCGCCGCGTGAGGATTGAAGTGTCCGAGACTCTGAGTTCCCATGGAATGCGATCCTGAGGGTACTGATGCTGCCGGGTTGAAGCCAGGCACATAAGGAGACGCTCCGACTGACGATTCGTGCTCCTCATCAATCAAATCCGCTTGGGCGTCATATTCTTGTTCTGGTCGATCTAGTCAGTCCGCCTGGCCCTAGGATATTGGCTCTGATGAGATGCGATCAACTTACCGAGTTGGTCATAATGCTTTTGGAATGGGGAAGGATAATATGCAGACGGAACGCGAGCAGCGCGAGGACCCGTTCCCGGCACGGCGGACTTGGGTTCGCTTGCTTCCGACGGCGCGACACTCATAGGCGGAGATGCCTGACTAATATTTCGAGAATGCGACAGCATCTGCGACCGAGATTGCTGCGCTTGTTGCGGATCGACGCCCACCGGCGACATGGCACCCTGGAAGCCAAAACCCGGGGATTTGGCGTGGGACGGGGACGACACGTGCGACGAGGGCGTGCCTTGATATTGAGGCGACGGGATGCCGTATGCTCCATCCCGGTTCTGTGACAGGCCAAACGGCTCTCCCTTGGGCGCGATGCCGGTCGGATGTCGCTGGGCCGTATTTCGATTGATTGCCGCCCGTTCTAACGACGGCGGCTTGGCCGCCATCGGGTTGGGTTTCCCGGGACCGCCGGGGGTGGCGGCCTTCAGGCGCAATTCGGCTTGTACATCGATGCCTGATGGAGGTTAGACCGCTGTAGAGGGAATAGGTGCTCAAGGTGATGGAATTGGAACGGGAAGTAAGAGAAGGGAAGAGAAAAAGGAAGATAAGGGACATAGAAAAGCCAAGGACTATGACGCACCTTTCTCAAGCAAGATACGCTCTAGGAGAGAGTTCTTATAGCGCAGCATCAGACACTCGTCAGCAGCCGTCCGGTGATTTTGTTGCAGGGTCTGCAGGGTGTCTTCATTGCGCTTGATGGTGGATTCGAGTTGGCGGATGTACTCAGTGCGACGTTCGCGAAACGCAGCCTGGGCCTGCCGATTGCGTTGCTTACGCTCTTCGGAGGTGGCATAGATCTAGGGAGCTGGGTCAATAAACCGAAAGATAAGAAATAAAAAGAAGAAAAAGGATCGGGGCCCCACGGAGATCAGAACAGAACAAGGAACAAATGATAGAAGTACAACTGGGGAACTAAAGGGACAAGGGGGTAAAGGAAGGGGGGGGGGATGAGGTGATAAGGGAGAGACAATCAATCAATCAGGACGAGATGTGATGCATAACGCCGCTGATAAATCGATGAAGGAACGATAGAACGATAGAGCGATAAAGCAAACAAGATAAAGTAAGATAAAAGGGCCGATAATCCAGGATAAAATGCGGGGCCCCGGATTTCATAAATAAAGGGGGAAGATGCTGCTTCTTTTTTTTCTCTTACGTACAGGTTTCCTTCCTCCCTTTCGCTTTTGCGTCTGGGCCACGTCCTGCGTCAGGATCTCGCCTTCAGCTTCGGGCGTCGACACGGCGGAACTGATTGATCCCTCGATGGGAGGTTCGGGCTTAGGTACGACCTCCATGTCATTTTGATTTGAATGCGACGTGTCCACCATAGAGACCATTGGAATTATATTGAGGGAGACACGATTATCACCCTCTTTGTCCTCTTTCCTTTCCTTTCTTTTCTTTTTTTTTTTTTTTTAATGACGTCGTTCTCCCCTTACGTGTGGTAAGTCACACCGGATCCGTGAGGAGAATGATCAAATAAAAAAATCAAAAAGAAGAGGGTAAAAAGGATAAGGGACCAAGATGGAATCGATCAATCCCCAGATACACCGACCCCCGATATGGCCGTGGACTGATTAACCAGCTCTAGGGTAGACAAGAACCACCACCGGAGAAAAAAAAATAAAATAAAGAAAAAAAAAATAAGTAGGACAGGAACCTTTTTCCCCGGCGGGGTGGGTTAAAGCGAACAATCAACGGGATAGACAAGAATCAGGCGCAAGAAACGCGCGGCTGGGCGGATGGAAGGGACGTGCGAGCAAAGCCAGAGATTAGCAAGAGGGCCAGTAAAAGGCGTGACATAAAGGAAATTGACGATGGATAAAGAGATAACCAACACGGTGAGATGGGCAAGTAGAGAGGGAGGAAGAAGGGGAGGCGGGTGTGGGAAAGATGTGAGGTAAAATTATTTACTAAAAAGAACCGGATTGTTATTAAGGAAAAAAGAACACGAGGGAAAAAAGAAAAGAAAAAAAAAAAGAAAAGTGCGGGAGGAACCAACGATGGAGAAAGGAAGGTCGCTCTGTCTGTTTGGGTCAGGCAGACGACGAACCGATGAGGGGTCTTCTTCTCTTGGTTATTATTATTATTCTTCTTCTTCTTGATTCCCTTTCCTGACCCGTCCCTCTCTGTTCATCTTCCCTCTTCCCTCTTCCAACTATCGAACTCCCAAGACAATAAATCCAAAGGGAAAAAAAAGAAGAAGAAAAAAAAAGACAGATTTCCTTCCTCAAACAGATGAGATCATTTCCCCTCCCCTCCCCCTCTCTTCCCTTCGCAGGTACTCCGTACAGTAAGAATCTTCTCTCCTCTCGGCGACGGCACGACGCGATCCACTTCTCAAGGTCAGACCCGGCCGAAGATCCGCTTAGTTCGAGGCACCAGACTCGTCACTGCCTCCGTTTCGCCTATTTGACCCCATGCAGGCAACGAGTGGAGAGAGTCGGTGACAGGCAATTGGCAACCAGCTGGAAGCCTGGAACGCTGGACAGCAACAGGCCGACTCTGACCGAACGAACAACCAACATTGGCCTTGACCACCACGGAATGTTGCAAAGCATGTATCTCCTGGCTGGCTTCCCTCGTTGGAGTCAAACCACCTTCAGACGACGAGAATTGGAGTAACTAGTTACAGGTGGTATTTGATGACCGATGGCTTGTTGGAGAGGCGTCGAATGGAGGCGCGTTTTGTCCGCGGAGAAGTTCCGCTTGGGACCGACCGTCACTCGCCCCGTCAGAGTTTTCCGTATGGCAGTTACGGCCCTTACGGTATTCTATTCGATGCCCATTCAATGCTATTATATAATATATATCCTAATAGCTGTCTCAGGTTTCGCGTGGAATGACATGTGACTTGGGGGAGGCATTTCCGGGGTGATTTGCTATGGACTCTGGAGTACGGAGCAGTAGATATTCTTGACTCTCGAGTCGCTTCAGATTGAGATCACAGCGTGTCCCCAGGGGTGCCCCCTGGACAGAGTATGGTACACCGTAGTAGGTACACTGTAGTAAGTACACCAATACAGGCACACCGGTACCGGTCGCGAGTTTCCGTGTTAGCGTCCGTTGCACTGCCAGTCTGAGTCTGTCTTCTCAGCTCTCACCGGAGAGAAGGACGAAAGACTGGAAATCGAAGCAACGTAGGCGAAAGGACATCACGAGGTCCAGCCACCGTGGGATGGAATGCGATCATCTGAGGCCAGGGCGATGGTCTGATCGAGCCGGTCGCTTGGCAGGGATCGACAGGACAGATTCCTCTAGTTGGGTAGTCCACGACCGACCAACGACCGATGTAACGAGCAGGATATGACTTCAGACTTGGCATTGGAATGAGAAGTACTCCAGAGTAGAATCTAGAAGCTCGTCGGACGCCTCGGACTACCGAGATTCTCGTATAATGAACGGGGCACCTAAACTTTGAGATGGCATGGCATGTTGGGAAACTTACCTTCGTTATCCCGAGCCGGTCACGATGGTCTTTTCCCTGGAACTCATTCTCTCCGCCCCCAACCCTGCAGTCAAATCATTCCAATTCTTTTATACCAGTAGCTATACTAGAACCGAGAACCCCCCAGGATGAAGTATACTGATCATGACCGAACAACCGCGGTGGTCGGCTCGTCGGCTTTCTCCTCCCTCTCGGCTTAGTCATGCCTTCCGCTCCTCCATTTCTCTCAATCTTCACATGCGATCCTCTTCCTCCGTAGAGTAGATTCATTCCATCCCGGCGCCATCTCTGACTCTCGTCCCCTTCCCTCCTGTCCACTCACTACATCCTCCTCCTTGCATCTGCAACCGGTACCTCGACCAGTCGGATAGCATGGCCTCCTCGTCGGCGCCCCCCGCGGTCGATCCTCGCGAGGAACACCCCGCCGAACAGACTACAGCAGCGGCGGCGGAGAAGGAGAAGAGCAGCTCAGACAACGCGAACACGAGTCCCCCCTCGACATCGACAGATTCAACGCAATCGCAAGCCCTAAAACAACCTAGCCAAACAGCCGCGCAAGATGATGACGATGATGACTCCGACTTCGACGAGCTAGATGGTAGGTTGATACCAAACCCACCCAACCCCGCCAAAATCTTCTCCGCGCACCAGCCCACATCCATACCAAGCATGATCGCTACAACTCAACTTCATCGCCTCATCAATCCATTTCTGTCCTTGTCCACGTGATGGGCCACAATAAATCAACCGAACTAATCAGTACTCTATCCCTCCCCAGACGTCCTCGATAACTTCAAACCCACCCCCGCAACGGCACCCAAAGATGCTGCCGCTTCGGCTACCACCTCTCCCGCCGCCGGCGCGTCAGGCGACGCTCCCCTCGATGCCGATGGCGAATTCGACGAAGCAGCCTTCATGAAGCAACTCGAAAAAGACATGGCGAACATGATGGGTCAGCAGTCCGGATCCGCCCCGGACAGCGCCCACCTCGCGGACATCGAGCAAGGCGCTGACGCCTTCACCAAGCAACTCGAGGAAAGCGGCATCCCGCCGGGCGATTTCATCAAGCAGCTGTTGGCCGACGTCATGGCCGAAGAGGGCGCGTCGCCTTCTGATCTGGGAGCTAGCGCCGCGGCGGCCACGGGCGCTGCTACCGCTGTGGGTGCGGGTGCCGCGGCGGCTGTGTCGGCTTCTGCTGGAGGAGGCGATAAGAAAGGAGGAGCGCCGGCGCCGGAATCGTTCAACGATGCGATTTCTAGAACGATTAACCGCATGAAAGAGTCGGGCGATAAGGCGACGGCGGCGGCGTCGGAGGACGACATCTCGGATGATCTGCTGGCGCAACTGATGAAGGCCGTGGAGGCGGGTGCGGGCGCCGGCGAGGGAGATGGAGAGGACGGGGATCTGGCGAAGATGTTCATGGGGATGATGGAGCAGCTGTCCAACAAGGAGATGCTGTACGAGCCCATGAAGGAACTGCATACGAAATTCGGACCGTGGATCGCGGAGAATAAGGGCAAGGGCAAGGTGTCCGATGAGGATATGAGTCGGTACGAGATGCAGGCCGGCATCGTCAGCGAGATTGTGACCAAGTTCGAGGAACCGGGATACACGGACGAGGACTCGAAATGTCGCGAGTACGTATGGGAGAAGATGCAAGCGGTGAGTTTCTCTGGCTATCGATGGTGAAACCCGATAATGATCAACTGACATGGACTTCTAGATGCAATCGGCCGGCAACCCTCCCGAGGAATTGGTTGCCAATCCCTGGGACGACTCGAAAGGAGGTGTTCCGGACTGCCCGCAGCAGTAAATTAACAAGACATACGGAGTAGTGTGAGACTGTCATCTTGCATGAGGCTCTCTTTTGGTTTACCAAGCTGCCATCTTTGTACTGTACATATATGTCGATACCCTTATTCACAGTCTTAAAATCCGGTCCGTCTGTACTATGTACATCAAACAAAAAACGCCATGACCAGTATCCCAGTGACATAGTAGGTAAAAGCCCAAAGCAACAAATACTCCGTATAATATGGAAGCAATCAAACGATCGCCTCTGACCTCTGAAATCACCCACTCATATCCATATCTTGACTAGGCGGCTGCGCCAAATCCATAAAGATGTCATCGTACTCCTCATCACTGAACGAGCCGGCATCTTTAGACCCATTATAGCCACCCCCCTGGCCAGGATTCATAGCTGCTGCATGATCAGATCCCCAAGGTCCCATGTGCGCCGCATCCTCCTGTCTCAGGTACTCTTCTAGAGCGATTTCATCTAGATCAGAGAAGACGAATGTTAGCGATAACCCACTAGGAAATGAAATGGGCGGGGACAGGGACACCGTACCTTCAACACTCAACTCCACCTCCTGCTCCTCATCCTGCGCAACATCACCTTCAAAGTCCAAATCCAAACCCCCCGCGGCCAGCCTTTCCGCTCTCCGTCGCATTGTCTCCCCCCACCTCTTCTCCTCCGCGACATGCTCCATCAGCGCTAGCTGCTCGCCGCGGTTCTCGAATCGTCCCGCATCGCGCTCCTGCTTGATGCGGTTCAGGAAGGCGTTGCGACGCGTCGAGCGCGCCGTTGGCGATGAGGACGCCGTGTAGGAGCGCGGTTGGTTGGATAGCGGGTTGGAGATCTTGGTGGCGTAGCGGTGCGCGTAGGTGGGTTGGGCTGTGCGAGGGGAGGGAGATGTGGGTGTTTGTTGAGGGGAGAATGCGAATGCGGTGGCGGTGGAGGGAGAGGGAGAGGGAGACCATTGCGTGTTTGTGTTTGTGATTGGGCATGGGCTTGGGTTCGCGGTTCCGGTTGAGGTCGTTGCGGATGGGTCTGTGGGTTGGAATTGGAATTGGAATTGCGGCTGGAAGGAGAATTGGGACGGCGAGGGCGACGTCGGGGAGGAAGCAGGAGCTGCGGCTGTTGTTGTCGTCATGGGGCGCGAAGGTGTGGTGTTTGCGCGGCGCGGCGAGAGAGGAGATGGGCGGACTGGGGTGAAGGGGACGAATTGTTGAGGCATGGGTGTAGCGAACATCATCTTGTCTGTAGGATTTTGTTCCGTCTCAAAGTAGGTAGGTAGGTGGGTATCTCGGAGATGATCGAGACCGTGGTTCGAGTGGCGGGATGGGGACGGGGACGGAAACGGGAACCGGACGCGTCGGATGGGGGTTTGTTCTCGGATTGGAAGGGGGAATTGGTCGATTTTGATGCGATGAGATTGAAGATGGTTAATTCGTAGAGGGAAGGAGAATAGATAGGGAATTGTCATGGGAGTACGGGGTAGGAGTAGATAAAGGTAGGGAGCGGAGTGGCCAGCCTCCGCCGCGACTTCGCGGCGCGTCGGGTCCGTCTGGCGCGCTAACCTGCTTGGGGTATATTGCATTCCTGAGGCTGCCATCGGGGCTGTCTACGTGCACAACACCCCTCGGTTCTGATTGCACGACATCCCTAATTAGGAAGCTGGCCCCCCGTGGCTCTTGTCAATTTCCTATGGGTTCCCTGGCAATGGAGAGATATTGTGACGTCTATCGTTGGGTTTGGATGGAATATCGTTCTTAGTTTTATGTCCAGATGAATATGGAGCTGGGGGAGGGACACAATCCACGGCTGTTGACCCTACCAGTTGGATATGTCAACCCGCTCAAAGGTCTCATCAACTAAAGCTATTTGTCTATGTCTCAATCATCGTAAATAGTATCTTGGCAAGAGAACTCAATTAGCAGTTTGTGGCTCGCGTTGACTCTTTTGATGATCGTTCCCCGCTTCCTGGGAGGTGGACCTCCGCTCGGTGATCCTTCCCCGTGGGGTGGAGCTTTGGGTCTCTCGGAATTTCAGCGCAAGTATGGAGCTTATGACGCGGATCTTGATCAATGGGCGATTCCTTTCTGACAAGACGTCCGTGGGAACTGGAACGGGCTCGGCTGGTATCATCCTTGGTTGTATCATGGCGCCAGTCATCACTTCACGATTTGGCCGCAAGATGGGTTTCATGGCCTTGTCATGTCTTATGACCGTCGGTGTCATCTTGGAGTCTAGTGCCCTTACGTCCTTCTGGCAGCTGGCCGTTGGGAGAATCGTCGTTTACTCGGGTATTGGATTGGCTTCGAATGTCGTTCCCACGTACTTATCGCAATGTTCGCTCCAGCGTGTTCGAGGTAAGTCTTTTATAACATTTGTTTGACGAGAGTGGGATCTAAGAGTATAGGCGCCTTTCTGTCGCTTTATTCATTCTTCACGTCGTTTGGCGTTTTCATCGCAACCCTTGTTGTCTACCTATGTCGCAACAGAAGCGATAGCTCTCAGTATCTGTATGGACGTGATCTAATTCTTTCTTCCTGTTTGATTTCAAAGCTGACCGCATCTTCAAGGATCGTGATCTGCTGCCAACTATTCGTCCCAGTTGGCTATCTACTCGCCTACCCGTCCCTCCCCGAGCCCCCCGATATCTTGTTTACCGGGGTAAATTTGCCGAAGCAGAAGCGGTCATGAAAAAGCTATCCAATCGCCCGGAGACGATTTCGCAAGAGATTGAAATGCTGCGGGTTCAAATCGACGAACAGCGAGAGCTCCATAAAGCGACGACGGTCCTGGACTGTTTCAAAGGCACCAATCTCCGACGAACGGTTGCGGCGATGGGTGTTCAAATCCTCCAACAAGCGCAAGGAGTGTCGTTCATTCAAAATTTCATCGTCACGTTTATGCAGCAGATGGGATTCCCAGACCCGCTCCAGACTAACGTCCTCGTCACCGGGTGTTCCTTTGTTTGCCATTTCATTACGTTCATCACGTTCGACAAGCTGGGCCGCCGCAACTCCCTCTTCCTTGGCTCTGTCGGCCTCGCTGCTACCATGCTGGGCACGGGAGGGGCTATTGAATCGAGTCCGATGGTCGCCGATCTTTCCTCGCAAGCAAAAGCGCCTGTGCCGCGTTGCTGATCCTGTGGTATTGTATCTACGGCTTCACGTGGGGTCCTGGGTGCTGGATTGTCACCGGAGAGATTGGAACCGGTCAGCTTCGCGAGCGTGCGGTGTTCCTGGCATCCATGGGTGGCTTTCTCCCGTCGGTTCCGATTAACTTCGTCAATCCCTATGTACAGGGTGCCATTGGTGGGCGAGTCACTTTCATCTACGGGGCGTTCTCGGTCGTCTCGTTATTCTTTGTGGGGTTCTGTATACCGGAGACCAGCCGACGATCGCTGGAAGAGTTGGATGAGATGTTCCAGGAAAGAGTTCATACCTGGAAATTCGATAAATGTGTTCCGGCGTTGGAGCTGAGATTGCGAAGTTGGACCACGCCGGGCTTTCTAAGCATGTGGAACTTTCCGAACGGAAAGACATCAAGGTGGATGTTTCGACACGAGAGTGAATTGGGGATACCACACGGTAACTGGCTAGGGCTGGATATGGTAAGTATGTTTTCCAGAAAGAGAGGACCTTCTTTCGACCCGGCGACATTAGAAGGCTGATGTAGTTGGATGGAGATTCTTCTTTGTATCACTATCACGGCTGTTATCATCTGATTAACCAAGGGTTTCATTCAATGCTCTCTCCTTTGACTATGGTACTGCTGCCACGTTACAAAAGCCCCAGCTTGATGTATATTCTTATGGGATTTCTTATGTATGTCTGAGTCTACCGTAAAAAAAGACCGGGTCCTCAAAGTGGAAGATAGTATGATTTCTTCTTCATACCGAGGAGGTTGTTCACCTACCGCTCTTGAAGACTAGGCTTGCTAGCAACTCTAAACTAATAGACGGTGACGGTTTTGTGCCAAGGTTCTGCCTGTTCATCAATATCGGGAAAACATAGAAGACGACAACCATGTATGTATGTTGGTAGAGTCGATAGTTTGCCAACCCATCTCACTCCATCGTTGTATGGACGTTTCAATTGGGTTGAGGTGGAAGGGGGAAAGAAGTGAGAGTCCCCTGACCAGGCTATCTAGCTGGATGGACTACAAGTATTTATGGATTTAATTAGGCTTGATCTAAATGTAAGTGAGTAAATAGAATTAAATTTAAAGGGAAGACCTGCTATGCATCAATCATAATTAAGCGTGATAATCAGGAGAACAAAAGAAGGCACTGAAAGACCAAGTACGTTCTTCTTTGGCCGCTCGAAATGCGTCACAAATGCTATGCAGGTTTGCAATTTTCTCGACGGGAATACGACTGTCTGGGTGGATTTGTAGAAGAAAAGACTTTAGGTTTTCAGCCGCTTCTTCCTGACTAAGAGATATTTTTCGCCCCTGGTATTCTGGATTCAGAGTGTAGTTCGCAATTGTGTTAAGGGTTTGAATCACGTATGTCACTCTGTCTGTCTGCAGACGCTCAGCAACATAAATTGGACATGCATAAATCATTTCGAACATTACGAGGCTCTCGAAGTCATTCCTCTTGCTGATTCTTCGAGCGTCTTTCACAATATCTGCTTCGAGGAAGTCGGGCTGCTGGCGCACAATAGGGGTAGGCTGTCCGGTGGCTTCTAATCGCTTAAGTGAGTGTCTGCAATCCATGGCCATCCGTCTTTTATGGTCTTCGATAAGTATGTCGTGGTCGCGGATTACTTCTTTGACCCCAGCGAGTTTCTGCTCTATATCGCTATTGTTCTGGTCGTATATTTGCTTCATGTTGTCTAACTATTTGCAGATACGCGTGAGCGGAGATTCGCATTCGAGTGACGGCAAAGTCTCCGAAGATTAATTTGCTTTGGTTGAATCCATGGAAGGTTGATTTCCCATCTTCTCGATCTTCTTATCTGTTATACTGGATAAAGCTGGTGGTGAGGTGCAACAGGTGGGTCGTAGGATCCTTATATAGACCTCTGTGGGCCGTGCCCTACCGGAGGCCTCCGCTAAGATAAGGGAAGGCCCGCGGATATCGCTTGAAGTGCTGCAAGGTACTTCAGGGCAGAAGGAAAAACCCTTGTGTGTACTGGACGATCGACCCGAGGCCTACGCGCTCCAGGTCTCCTACCTGAAGCCTCCCGGCACTCGTTCGGTGTCACTAGCCAGCAGGCTATCCTAGAATTGTAGAACGAGGATGAAGATGGCCAGTAAATCGATGGTATTCAAACCATCAACTAGCTCACTAACTAAGGAAGAAAACAGCAAAGAGGAAGATGCGCAGGGACGAGTAACTAGTTAACTACCTAGTTACGTGACACGGAGATGAGCAAAATGGAATGAAGGATGGTGTCAACCGTATGTGACCGCTAGTCACATAGGAGACCTTCCTATTCCGGACATCGGTATTGGTAACTACCGATCCCC